ATATCTACCCTCCCATCCTCTCCAATTTTCCCTTTCCGCGTGTCCTCTTCTTTTCTAATAAGTGTCTTCCTTTCCTGAGTTTTCTTTGTGTGTGTGTTCGTTTATTTTTATTTTATGTGTATGAGTTTTGTGCGTGATCATGTCTGTGCTGCAGGCATGTGCAGTGCCAAAGAGGACACTGGATCCTCTGGAACTGGAGTCACAGTCACAGACAGTGCTGGGTGTGGGACCCTGGTACTCCGGACAATCGGCCAGTGCTCTCAACTCCTGAACCATTTCCTCAGCATCTCCTTAAGTGCTCTTGTTTCTTCCCATTATATTTTTTTAATTAAAAAAAACATAATAGTGATACTGGTTTGTCACAGACAATATTTATTATGTTGAGACATGGTTCCTCTCTCTCTAGTCTATAAATGATTTTATCATGAAAGGATGTTGGGGTTGCCATAGGGCCATTTCAGAATCGACTGAAACGATCATGGTTTTGGCTCTTGTGTCCATCTATGTGGTGACTTTTGCTTATTGGTTTCTGTATGTTGAACCCTCCCAACTTCATCAAAAATTTGAATGCTGTTTGCATAAGTACTTGAATATAGTTTGCAAGTACTTTGTTGAGAGTTTTTGCATCTATGTTTACCACTGACATTAGCCTATCATTTTATTTTCCTTTGGATCTGTATCTGGTTTTGCCATCAGGGTAATGCTAGTTTCATATAAAGAGACTGGAAGTGTTCCTTCCCTTTCCATTTTATAGAATAATTTCAGGAGTACTAGTATTATTTCTTTGAAGGTTTAATATAATTAGATCTTGAATCCATTTGGCCCCAGGCTTTTTAAGTTGAAAGAGTTGATTATTGTTTTATTTCAATGGCTGCTTAGATCTGTTTAAGTTATTTACTTCATATTGGTTTAATTTTGGTAGATTATATGCATCTCAAAATTAACCCACATTGTGCAGATTGTCCAGTTTAGTGGAATATATATTTTTAAAGTATGTCCACATGGTTCTCAGAATTATCTCAGTAGCTGTTGTGTTTTTTCTTAATTCTTTTATTCTTTATCTTTTCTTTCTCTACTTTTATTAATGTTAATTTGGATCTTCTCACCTCTGTGCTTAAATTGGATAAAGATTTGTGAATTTCACTTAACTTTTCAAATAATCAACTGTTTCATTGATTGATTTTATTGCTTTTTTCACTTATCATTCATTAAATTCTACCTCGATCTTTATCAATTCTTTTCAGCTACAACTTTAATGACTGGCTGGATTTTGATTTTCTAAAGCTTTAATTTTCGTTATCGGCTTTTTTTTTTTTACATCTCT